TTTTTCGCCCTTGTCCGAGAAGGCTAGGTGTAGATCTTTCCTACCAGAAGATCAGGGGTGTGGCAGAAAGACAGCAGATAGGAGGAGCCAAGGAGTATCAGTAGAAAGGCTGCAGAAAGAGTCAGGAGCCCAGAGGAGGGGGCAAAGGAGGTGAGGGGGTGGGGGCAGAAAGTGGAAACGAAAGCAGACAATAGAACATTGTTAGAGAGCAGGAAAGGAGACAATTTTAGAGAAGAAAATTTTTCAGTCGCTACCCGGATTCGAACCCGGGACCTTTGAACGAGAGGCCAACACCTTAACCTTTAGGCCACAAGAGCCCCCTTGATTTTTTGTTTTGTTTTTGTTTTGGGGGGGTTTTTTGGTTTTTGTTTTCTTGGGGGGTTTTCATTCACGCTAGTCAAAAAAAAATTACAATCTAGCATTGCCGACTCCAGTGTGTCTAACAAAATAACCAGACAAGTTACAACGTCCATTCTTTTTTGAGTCTCAAGAGCAGAAATTCGTGCTTTGGGTACACTAAATGAGAATTACCATAAATACAAGGATACACCTTAAATTGTACGTTGAAAAGTACGAAAAATTAAGTCAGCCCAGACAGAGCAGCGACACGGAGCTGAACCCCGTGACCCCGAAGTAATAAGGCGCCCGGCGGGGAACCCCTCGCGGCAACTAAAATTCTACTGCCGGTGCGCCGCGGTATGTGTGTGTGTCTATATGTGAGTGTGTGTGTGCGTGCGTGTGTGTGTGAGTATGCATGTGGGAGCATCTGTCAATGTGTAGGTATATGAGTGAGTGATCACCCATGCGTTGGTATATGAAATAACGTTTGTCAGTGTGTGTGTTGGTATATTAGCGAGCACCAATCAGTCAGTGTGCGAGTACATGAGTAAGCATCTGTGTCTGTTAGTAGCGTGTACAACCCTGAGACAACTCACCTGCACGTTCAGGGCCCACCCTCGGATCACGTTGAACCGGGCCGTCAGGATACGCGACCTGATCATGGCCTGTAGCCTCATGTAGCCTTGCTTCATCTGCACAACACACGCAGAGAAACAAAATAAAATATTATCATGAGATCAACTCATTCTGCAGTCTCATGTAGCCTTGCTTCATCTATGACACACATGAAGAAACAAAATATTATTATTATCATGAGATCAACTCATTCTGCAGTCTAATGTCAGAGATGCCAAATTATAATGATTTTTGAAGAAAAAAACGGAAAATAATAGGAGCATCACACCTCACCTAAAACGTACCTTGTAAAATCTTCAAATGAGCAAACAAAAACATTTCTCTTATCATTCCCCTTTCCTTTGCAATTGTATGAAAAAAACCCAGAAAAATCCGGAAAAACCGGAGATTTGGCATCCCTGTAATGTAGCCTTGCTTTATCTATACAACACATGCGGAGATACAAAATAAAATATTATCATGAGATCAACTTATTCTGCAGTCTCATGGTAGCCTTGCTTCATCTATATAACATACGCGGAGAAACAACAACAATAAATTATTATCAAGAGATCAAATCATTTGAACAATGAACATTTTCATTTTACTATTTTCAGGACACACGCAATTGATGCAAGGGGTAAAAAAGCAAGGACACACACACACACATACAATGAAACACACACACAATAACAAATACACACAATGTTTAGTTGTAGTTTTAGTAAGAGTTTTACAGCACTTGCAACACAATAAGGTCATATATGTGCAGAAGATTAGAGGTGTTACAAGAGAGTAATAAACACAAAAAAGAAGGAGGGAAGATAAGGACGACAGATGTTTCATAGGAAAGAAGAAGCAAACCACACCAGAGCGCGCACACACACACACACACAATGACAAACACAATGACCCCCACAATGAGCCACACACTCACCACAAGGAACCACTTCCTTTCCTCGTAAGCCCTCAGAGTCGACTGCACTGTCACAATACACACACAAGACCTACACAATGACCCACACAATGTCCCACCCACACACACACAATGAGCCACACACTCACCACCAGGAACCTCTTCCTCTCCTCGTAAGCCCTCAGCGTCGACTGAACCGTCACGATACATTTCCTCATCTTCAGGAACCTGCGGCGGAAGTGCCACGAGCGAACCATCTTCTGAATCACCAGAATCTTCTTTGTCAAGGTCAGCTCTCGCTGCGACTCCAGGTAGGAGTCTTGGGCATCCTGGAAACGTTGGGTTTTTTCAGATTTAGTAAAAGTTTTTATATCCCATTTTTTTTCTTTTTTTTTAATTGTACGTATTTTTTCAGACAATGACAATTATAATCTTTATTCATCTCACTGGGAGAAATTTGTCTTGGACGTTTACAATGGCAGTGGAATGTTACAAAGGTTAGGTGTGCACACAAATACACACATCAAGACAGGACATTAGTAAATTTAATTTACGAGCTGAAACAATCCACTCCGTAAATCTCTCTCTCTCTCTCTCTCTCTCTCTCTCTCTCTCTCTCTCTCTCTCTCTATCTATCTCTCTCTCTATCTATCTCTCTCTCTTTCTCTCTCTCTTTCTCTCTCTCCTTCTCTCTTTCTTTCTCTGTTTCATATGTAGCACTGTGTGTTCAGTAACCTCACTGCAGTTGGTACCAATGAGTTTTAGTTTTAGTTTTAGTAGAGGTTTTACGGCGCTCGCAACTGCATAAGGTCATATGAGTGCCAGAAGATTAGAGGTGTTACAAGAGAGTAACAAACATAAAAAAGAAGAAGGGGAGATAAAGACGACAGGTGTTTCTGTTTTCGTAAGCGTTTTTACGGCGCTCGCAACTGCATAAGGTCATATGAGCGCGCGGGACACATGAAACTTTTTCAGTTGGTAGGAAATTTTGAATTTTTGCCCGGTTGGCAGCTGAAGCCTGCTCTTATCGATTTTAGATCACCAAGGGATCTTTAACGGGCGCAACTTGCACACGGGGCCTCTGAGATTTTTCGCCCTTGTCCCAGAAGGCTAGGTGTAGATCTTTCCTACCAGAAGATCAGGGGTGTGGCTGAAAGACAGCAGTAAGAAGAAGCCAAGGAGTAGCAGTAGAAAGGCTGTAGAAAGAATCAGGAGCCCAGATGAGGGGGGCAAAGGAGATGAGGGAGTGGGGGCAGAAAGAGGAGACGAAAGCAGACGACAGAACATTGCTAGAGATCAGGAAAGGAGGTGAAAGGAAATTTAGAGAAGAAAATTTTTCGGTCACTACCTGGATTCGAACCTGGGACCTTTGAATGAGAGGCCAACACCTTAACCTCTAGGCCACGAGAGCCCCCGATAGGTGTTTGATAGGAAAGAAGAAGCAAACCACACTAGAGCACCCGCCAACCACCCACACCAATGTGTTTTGCCCCTATTGATACAACATAGATTATTTAGGAGGGAGGCTTTCGGCCTTACCTGTCAGGACTAGCCAGGGCTAAGGGGGATCTAACATCCCAGCAGATTGACGGACAAACTCAATAAAAAATTCACAAGTAATCAAAATTGTGCCGATGGAGGCGTTAAAAAACATATATTTTTAAAAAAACAAAAAACAAACAAACAAATGTGAAGCTAGCTTACAAAATGATTTGCTTCTCGGATTAAAACCTTAAGGAAATATATACATAAGGCTTATAGGTGAAGTTTTTACAATTTATATGTATGAAATAATAGAAGACAGGTTATAGTTAAAGAATATGGCATCAATAGATACAAATTTGATCCTAGTGTCGATTTTTAGCCAACATCTCCATTTGGGGATTGCGAGAAGCATCTCGTTTTGTCAGCACGCCTCGCAAATGGACAATCAGAAAAGCGACCAGGCCGGACCTACCTTAAGGAACACTTTCGTCTTTCCCAGCTGGTAGTCTGTGTTCTTCAGCACGGCCGTGCAGATCTTCTCCGAGGCCCTGTGGCAATCCTCGCGGTGAGACGGACCGATGCCATCCACCAACATCCGGTAGCGATCCACAAACTCGGCAAAGTGATGGCGGATGGGATAGCCGGCCCGACGGATGCGGATTGTCTCCATCATGCCTGAGTACCGGAGCTGTTTGCAGCACAGCTCTCTGTCAAATTGCTGGACAATAGAGATAACAGGGAGAGAAAGTAAGCGATTAGGTGAGAGTAAATTTGTGTCAAGTAACTGGGTGGAATCAGGTGATTGTCCATTTATAAACATTTGGAGTTACTGGTATCATCTTACAGCCTATTCATTTGTCTTCCTTTGGATGGAAAAAAAAATACAGATCTACCTTGAATAGAAGTCAGGATATTTGAAATTGAAGGAGGTAGGGGCTGCCCAGTGTTAAAATTCAAATTTGCAAAACACACATGCAGGCACACACACACACACAAAACCAAACACACATACACGTGGACAAACACACACATGCACACACACACACACACACACACACACACACAAACAAACACACACACAAGAGAGTAACAACAACAAAAAAAGGAAGAGAGATAAGGACGACAGATGTTTGATCGGGGGAAAAAAATCTAGATGCGAGAATTGAACCCATTCGCAACATCAGCAAAACACAAACTTGAGACAGAATTGAACCTTGC